ATCTCTGCTATAACCAGGAATGTTTATGGAAAATATATCATTCATAAGTGCTACCCCACAAATGCATTTTTTCTCTAAATGTTTCTTTGATAAAAATGAATTTTAAATAGAAAAATTATCCAAGTAAGTTAAAGGGACAGTTTAAGCACCATAACAACCACTCTCGAATGGTTTAACTCCAAAATGAGCCAACAGCCAGGGCTGTCTTTAACTTGAAGCAAACGGGCAGGAGGAGTTGCGAGGGAGGGAGGCTGAGGCAGGATGGAAGCTCCTCACTCCCATTAGCCTCAGGCACCACACTGGACCCCAGGGAAGCCACCCAGCAAAATATAGGAAACTGGAAGATGGGTTTTAAAAGGTAAATTTTACATGTGTGCTAGTATGTCTGTGTCTTAGTATGTCTGTATGTTAGTATGTGTGTGTGTTAGTATGTCTGTGTGTGTGTGTGTGTGTGTCAGTATGTCTGTGTGTGTCAGTATGTCTGACAGTGTATGTATCTGTGTCCCTGTATGTCTGTAAGTGTTTGTCTGTGTGTGTGTCAGTATGTCCGTCAGTATTTTTATCTGTGTGTGTCAGTGTATTTGCCTGTCTGTGTGTGTCAGTATTTCTGTCAGTGTATGTGCTTTGGAACGGCTCATAATCCGTGTGTATGTGTGTCAGTATGTCTATCAGTGTATGCATCTGTGTGTCAGTATGTCTGCAGGGCCAGCGCTTCCTATAAGGCGAACTAGGCAGCCGCCTAGGGCGCCATATAGGAGGGGGCACCCTGCGCCCCCATCGCCGGCCCTTTAAATGCCACAGCCGCCTGAGCGCTCTATAGAGAGCGCTTAGACGGCTGCTGCACTGCCTCACCTTCCCTTCCCTTTAGCGTGGCCGAGCTCCTATCCGATCCGCGACCCGGCGGGACTGACAGGAAGTGCACACTGAGTGCACACTGAGTGTGCACTTCCTGTCAGTACGGCCGGGTCGCGGACCGGAAAGGAGCTCGGCCACGCTACAGGGCAGGGGAGGTGAGGAGATGATTATAGGGGAGGGGGGAGAAGATTATAGGGGAGGGGGGAGAAGATT